TTTTATCGTGTATTCGCGCATCTTAATATCGATATTAATTATTCTCGATCGATGTCGAACAATCGTTAAGAAGATAGATATTTTCTATTGTTGAATTTCTATTGTTTATTAATCCTTGTAATATTGCAATTTATATTTTAATTCCAGGCGGATGGGTATATGGATCAGTATGATAACGAAGAATTTTCTTTTTTAATAATATTATAAAATATTATAAATATATATATATATATATAATTAGATTGGATAAAACAAATTGAAATAAAAACTTCTGTTTCATAGTTGAAATATTATAACGTGTATTTTATATTGTATGTGTTTTATATCTTTTGTATATTTATGAATTTTTCATATGTGCATAAATTTTCACAATTTAATAATAACGTTTAACGCATTGAAAAACGTAAAATTCTTCGTTTCCAATCAGATCCCAGAATTCGATGCTTCAAGAATTTTTTTCTTCTTAATTTCAGACAATTCCGATTAATTTAATATTATTTATCGCAACGATTCGATATTTATAACGCATTCAAACAAAAAAACAACGTAACGAATACTTTTGCATCGAAATGACACTGCACATCCATCGCGCGAGGATTAATTAATTATCGTTTCGCATCGATTATTTTCCCTTGCTTGCGCACAACTATTCGCGTAAAAAAAAAAAAAAAAAAATTCGAGGAAAAATCGAGACGTTAACGTAGCTACGAAAAAAAAAAAACCAGCCTAATTTATGCGCGAGCAACGACGCAGCCGATAATCGAGAGACGCCTCGATGACTTGACGTGCGGTCGAATGCATCGAGTCACGATGGTCGAACAGCCACTGATCTCGCTACTCGCGAGCACAATAGCGTTGCCGCGTTGTGGCATTGGGAGAGTTATGAATGAAATGTAGTGCAACGACATTGGCGAGCGAGTGGCAAGATCAATGAAACTCGGCGCCACGCATCGATCACAGCCGAGACGCGGCGTTCTATCGCATATTATTACACTCGGTCGTATGCACGATCGTGATTCGTTTGGATTCGCGTATACGTACGGCGCATTCGAAATATAACCGAAAGCAAGGTGTAATGACCCTGAAAGAACCGCCTTTCCACTCGACACTTGTGGGTGGCACCAGAACGTAGCTGGTTTATAAACTGGTTATTTTTGGATATTCAAATATCTCTAGGAATATTGATTCGTAATAAGAATTATAATAGAAAGAAATTAATGGAAAGAAAGAGAAAAATTTTCTGAGGATGCGTAATATATCGTTGTGTGATTTTCTATTTGCAGTCGATTCGACGTATTGCCTTTATTTCGCAATTCGTTTCGTACTTCGTCGCGACGTGGCATGAATCTCGCTTTCATCCAAGACTGACGCAGGTATTAAACGCCTATCATCGCTATATTTACGTGATGGCTACTAGTGCGGGGGATTATCGAGACAAAAATGGCTTGCTCGTGTCTCGATCAAGATCGATGATCAATTTCTTTTTTAAACGAAAAAAATGTGAAAATTTTTAATTATCGAAATTGTTGATTTCGTTCGTGATGAAAAGAAAATTGTAAAGCTGAATTGAAAAGTTTGTTTCACGTATTTTTAAATTATTGTATTGTAATTATAATATATGATCGAAAATGAAGCAGAATCGAAGATTCGTTCCAAACGAAAGGATATCAATGGGCAATTTTCAATTAATAAATAAATTTCAATAATTTCAATAAAGTTTCCGAATTATTTTGTACAACGTTAAAAGTGAAGAGACACGTTTCCCATCGAAATATGATCATAGAATCACGTTATGTATCGACGTTATAAAAATCATATGCGGCATACCGGTGTGAATACAGTTGAAACTTTAATTAAAAGTTTATTAATTATTAATTAACGAAATTATATTTTTCGAATATAATTCGCACAAATAATTTGTGACCACCGCAAACGAACGAAACGGTAACGAAATTCTATTCAATTTTTAATCATGTTTCGCAATTGATCAAAACTTTACAAAATTAATCAGTTTTATCCGATTCGAAACGGAAATTCAATATATCGCCTATCGATAAAATTAAAATATTTTTACATCCAGCTCACGGTCAACTTCAATCTCTGTCTGTCAATTTAAATCAAATTTTGTTCAAATCGATATAATTTATCCGAATAAAACCACTGGTAGATAAAAAAAAAAAAAAAAACTGAGCAATCCACTTCAATTTCTATTTAACAATTTCTATACAACACACTTGTTCCTCATCCTCATCCTATCACACCGATCCTCTCACCCTTCTAACTCGAAAAAAAAAAAATTCACTGACTCGAAAAATCCAAAATCCAAGAAGAAGTTAAAAAAGAAAAGAAAAGAAAAGAAAAAGGAAGAAAAATAAAAAAACGAAAAAAAAAAACAAAATAAAAGAAAAGGATGTCGGTCGCACTCGTGGTCCTTCGTGGTATATGGGGCACGTACCAGGGTGAAGAAAGCGGCGCGCACACGGCCAAACATCCTGCCACCGTTCGCTTCCGTTCAGCAAGCCATCGTCCCAAAGATCTCGATCCCGTGCAAGATGATGATCTCTTCGGATTCGTACACGCAGTGTGCCGTTCGAACTGAAAGACTGAAGACGTAGCCGGCAGAAGAAGGCTTATATACAGGGTGGGGGTCGGCAAGAGCAACCGACCAACTTGGTGCCCATCCTTCTTGGTGTCTTCTCTTTTCCCCATTCTTCTCCGTTTCGACTCCTTCAGGGATAATTCTTGCGTGCCCCCCACCCCACCTCCCATCCCCATTATCGTACCGTGGTGTCGTGATCCTTGTTCGTCTTGGACCTTCGTCTTGGACCCTTCCGCTCGGCCGAGGAACGAGTCGTGGTACGTGGTACGTGGATCGTTCCACTCTTCGTTATGGTTATGCGGTATGACGATGAGTTTGGTAAAGGTTCTCCTCTCTTTTTTCTCCTCTTTCCTTTTCTTTTCCTTTTCTTATTTTTTTTTCTTCTTCTTCTTCTTCTTTTTCAAGGGAGAGCTCCCTTGTTGGGCTTCTTATTTGGTTACTCGGTGAGTCCAAAAAAAAAAAAAAAGAAAAAAAAAGAGAAGAAAGAGGAGACGGGTGGTTGTTAACCGGAACGAGGAGGAGGTGTGCTATGGATGAATGATCGATGGGTATCGGGGGAACGTAAATTCATCGATATGTTTTATTTTTATTTCGATGGTTTTCATTATTTTTGCTGCGGAGGATGGGACGTGGTGGGTGGGTAACAAGAGGTTTCATTCGCGATTCACCTTGGGGGAACGGGTTACCCTCTTTTCGAAGAACGATCATTCTCTCGATATTTTATTTTTTTTTCTTCTATCTTTTTTTTTTTTCGCTTCTCAAGTATAAAATTATACCAATCATCACCAGCTTAAGTTATCGCGAAAGATATAATTTATCGTCGCTATATTTATTAAATATATATATATATATATATCGTTGAAAATAACGAGACGAAAAAATTCATCGTATCCGGAACGATTCGAAATTCTTTTCGGGATCATCGCGTAAGATTCGTGATTCGATCCGTGACGCGTGGCCTTTCCAGCCATTCGCAAGGACTGTGCAGGTATTTCGCAGGTGGGACGAGGCGCGACGATGAATCATCTCGTTAAGGATTCTCGAGAAATTCATTTCTCGTGTCCGATTCATCGTTCGTTTCGTAGGTAAACGCGATTGGGGAAGGCCGTGGAGGATTCACGACCAATAAACGGGAACGGGATCCTTTCTCACCGCGATCCATGACACTTTATACAGTCGTTTTTTTGCGCGTTTTATTTTCGCGCGCAGCTGCAATTTCTGCATTGCAATCGTCTCGCTTCACGCTCGAGGTTAATTCGAGGTTAAACGGGACAAAAACTAATCCAAATGCCGTGGATTTATTATAGAACAAACGATCAATCAGATCGATTGAGACGTGTAAGTATCGTGTCTCTCTCCCCGAGAGATCCTGTTGAATTTCTATAAAAGGATTCTTTTCTGGTTTAAAAGGTAGCTTTGTAACAATTCAATCGTTTCAACAGATCTTTTTTTTTTCCGTTCCGCGTTCGGATAAAAAAGAAACGTGGAGGCAAAAGTGGCGCCAAATGCCATGTTAGGTCTCTTTCGAGGCCTTGGACGAAATTAACGGTGATTTCTTGGAGATCAAGATTAGTCGTGTTTAAACAGAAACGTTCGGATTGGAAGTGGAAGTAGGAAGTCGTTTAAAGGTCTGTTGATTCCAGATTCAATAATGCTCTTTTAACTTCTCTTTTTTCAAAATTTTGTTGAATGCGTTGAATATCGTGGAAATATTAACTCGAAGAGAATTATCGTATTTGCGTTGAAATACAAATGCATTTATGTATCGAAATCTATTGCGGTTCATTAGTGAAAACGCGCTCTACAGTGAATACGAATTTTCCATCGTTGTTATTATTACACGTAACGTATATTATCATCGCTATATAATAAAATAAATCTTCCGTTCTTTCGAACAATAACATTCTCGTGAAAATTTTTTTTATTAAATGTTAAGCTTCTTAAAATTCTAACGCAGCGACTTTTAGTAATATTTTAACGGGATAAGTGTTTCGTTCTGTCGAGCAACGAAACTATTGTTAAAAAATATCCTAGAAAAGAAAGAATCTCCATTGAAAATTTTAAAAAGCTTCTTTAAAATTTTAAAAAACATAGTGATTCGTTGCATTGCATAGGATCTATCGATATATCAACGGTATTACCCGTAACGATGGGGAAAGCTCGACGCTGGTATTTCTTACGTAGCGTAGTATGAACTTCAATTAGCGAGTCAAGAGTCGCGAATATTACGCGCCGGTTGCAAGTCGGTTTCATGTAACGAACGGAATAACGTTCGGAGGAGAAGAGCGGAGCGGAGTACGCGCCTTGCATAACTCGAATTTCAGGCGTAAACCTTGACTTTAAAACTGGCCGGTGCCTGTTGCACTTTCTTCGCGATCGGACACGCTTTCCTCCACGCGTTATCGATTATACGATGTTTCCATTTCACACGAGTTTTTCGATTTTACGATCGATGAGATCGAAACGATCCTCGAAGTTACGTGCATCGTCGTACGATCTTTTTGTAAAAAAAAAAGAAAAAAAAAAAAAAAAGAATTTGATGTTAAACGAGAAAGGAAAAAAAAAAAAAAAGAATTTGATGTTAAACGAGAAAGGAAAAAAAAAAAAAAAGAATTTGATTTTAAAAGAGAAAGAAAAAAAAAAAAAAATTTTTTTTTAAAAAAAAAAGAAAAAAAAAAAAAAAAGAATTTGATGTTAAACGAGAAAGGAAAAAAAGAAAAAATATGTCTTTTTAAATGCGATTCAAAGTAAATGTTACATCGATATTTAAACAAAAAGGATTTGTTGCTCGAATGTGAAGAGAAACAATATCCATTCATCATAGTTTCATATTATATAGAAGAGGATATATTGGAAGAAGAAGGCAATAAAGGAGTTTCTAAACGACGTCTTAGGGCTTGCAATTTTCTCTGTCTCGAAACGTATCCACCACCAATTCTTCCTTTTCTTCCATTTGTATTTTCAATTTCGAAAAATTACATTCCCGTCATCGCTTTGCCGTTACGCAAAAATTTATGCCGCGAATTTGCGTTAAAGTTCGATCAAACTTGGAAAAGAAGAGGCAAGCGGTATTTTCTAAATTTAGCATTAAAAATTTCCATCATAACAATTTTCAACGTGTTTAAAGTACACTTTTCTTTTTTTTTGCCTCTCCCTTTTTAAACTTTTAAACTTTATCTTTTTTATCTACCATTTTATCTACCAATCGTTATTAGAATTCCTCTTCCTCTCCATTTATTCGACGACCGTGAAATTAGATAATTGGTTATTCCGGACAGAGAATTTCTCCGAGAGTGGCATTTTTTTTTCTGTCTTTCTTTCTTTCTTTCTTTCTTTCTTTCTTTCTTTTTTTTTTTTTGAAAGTTTTCGAATAAAATCTACATCGATTCGTGCAACTTTTCGAAACTAAAAGAATTTATGAATATGATTAAAGAGAAGTATCGAATATATCATAACGTAACATAATTATCCAATAAAAATTTAAAAATGAAACGAAAAAATTCACTTATCGATCACGCAAAGACGCTAAATATCTACTTGAAATGCTAATCGCGATGCTAACACCATTACCACGGATAGCTTCGCAACAAATTCACCATTAATCCGGCAACACCATATTTTCACTTTCGTACTTTTCCCTCTTCCTATTCTCCGACTCAACTTTCATTTTTTTTTCTTTTTTTTTTATCGTTAAATTAAATAAATCTTCGTCTCTTAAAAAAAATAACTCCACTTCTGTTGTATCGATATACTATTATATAATTAACTCCTCGCCAATTCACCAATTTATTCTCCTTATCTCAAAAACTCTCTCTCTCTCTCTCTCTCTCTCTC